TTCAAAACACTTCACTGTGTCAAAACAATACAGATCATTCAAAATTTTATTATAGTCTTTGGATTTTGCTTTTCGTGTAATTCTGCTTCATATTGTCAGAAATACATCACATGAAATTGTAAACAGATTGTTTACAAATGCTAAGGTGAAAATATGCACAACACAGGGTAATGTTTTAAGGGAATTGTATGCGTTACATGGAAAAGTAATTAACTATTTCAGTTAAACAGTTTCTGAACAGGTGCTGGTGTAAGAAATGGAAATTGAAGAAGTTACTTTTGAATGGTGTGAAACGCGGAAGATTATATACACTTTTTTATAATAGTTTCGTTTTAAATAATGTCAGCTCATAATGAAATCCTGTAACCAGTAAAATCAAATCCCTGCAAGCCAACGCTTGAATATTAATTAACCTGATGCTCACTAGTGATTGCCTGTATTCACGTAGGTAGTGACCTGGGTTCTAGTGAGCAGTCGTGACCAGTGGGATACAGCAGGTCGGGTGTGAGGTCAAATATCCGTCACGAATGAAATTGGCTAGTGGTTGCGCTAAATCATTAATTGGCAAAAGTTGGAACTCAAGAACTGGCCAGTGGATGGGCTCCCAGAGGCTTAATTGTTTATCAGCCCACCTTGCAACCGAAAGGTCCTGGATTTGAACCCTGAAGGTGGGTGCATACTTCTGAAGAGTCACAGACTAGATGGACATGACATCTGTCCAGTACTTCCAGTCTTTCCAATGGTTCTCTAGCAGTTATCAGCTCTTGATGAAATAATGTAACCGATTTAAAATATACATGATTAGTCGAACACTTGATTCAAGGGACCAACTGATGCTTCGCTCTGTCTTCTTTGGATACACTGAGGATAATATCAGTGAAATTTTAAAAATTACGATGAATAAGAGCCTTCTTTACTTTCGAACATGTTCGTCTAACTGTTGACTAAAAACTTTCGAATTCTAGTCCAAAAAGGCAATCAACGGAACTTAGGAAAGGAAGTGTTGCATGTGCTATATAAAAGTCTATTGAAAGGAGGCGGTCAGAAATTGAAATCAATATTTTTTTAAAATTAATGGCTACAGAGGTGAAAGTATTTATTCCTCAAATGTGGACTTAGTTGACGTTCTGGTTCGGAAATGATCTCATTGGACAACTTTTCATGCATTTGTATAACCTTAAACGAATGTAAAACCTATCAGGACAGTTTACTGTCCACTGACGTAGCTGACTTTTAATGTCATTATGAGGTATATATGTATGATGAATGTTTCTTTAATAAAAAACTCCGTTACTGTTTCTTCTACCTTCTGCCGTCACAGAAGTACATTGTAAAAATTCCTTGTGAACAGTCTAATTGTAAAGCTTATACTTATTCTGAGGTTTCAAATAACTTTGCAATTATTATGCATTTTTCTTCTAGACTGTTTGTCATTGTTTTGACACTCGCATATCATTTATTAACTTAATCCTTATTAATTGTCATTTTCACTACTTAACCCCTGATGGCTGTCATTGTGGTTGTACAATATGTTGATAATGTGTTGCACGATGCGATTCTGTTTCGTTGAATAAAGGTGATTCTAACCTTGAACTGTCTGCAGGAATTGTTGGCATGTGACTTTTATGCACATAGTTTTGATTCCACCTTGTTGGGAATATTCAGCTTGATTCTAAGCACTCGTTTGACATCTAGACTCAACCGTACAGCTGATTGACGGGACTCTTTAGGTAATTTGGAGTTTTTGACTTTGGTAGTTTTACATGGAACCACATAGATCTAAACACAAATAACAGTCATTTTTCTGTCATTAGAGCGTCTTCTGACTGTGTGTCTCTCGATGGTGTCTTTCAGTTATGCTTTAGGAGTTAGAGATTGGTTTCCAGTGTTCAGACCACAAGGAGTCAACTTTTAATATTGCAGTCAATAAAACTCTTTCAGATTCAGAATACTTCAGATATCTACATAGTCTCTTAAAATTAAAGCATGAAAGATGACCAGTAATCCATGAACTTTATACTTTATACCTCACCTCAAAGATAATAGAAATTAAATATTTACCGATAAACTTTCCAAAAATGGATAAACGTTAACGTTTTTAAACCCGTATGGGAGTGAGTTGGTTCCAAAGCTTACGCTCTATTCCATTCCAGAAGAGCATGTTTACATCAAATCACTACACAGTGAGGCAACAAATAGTAGTAGTAGTAGTAGTAAGGCAGAGACTAAATTCAGTCGACCAGAATATACGCCACTACAAGCCTCAACATCGAACGAATGACCACGTTACATCACACACTATATACCAATTTACATGTGTGTTTGTGGTCACACATACACAGAGAGAAGCAATCGCGCCTTGCATGTGAGGGTGGGAGAACATGTGTGCGAATGACTAGAAGAGTAAATTAAGTGTGGAACCTCGATAAACTCAATTTACAGACTACCAAATCCACCTATAGCTAAACACTTAGTCGATATGAATCACGGGGCACGTGTCAAAACACCTTCTGTGGTTATTTATGCAATTAGTCAAGGTCGCTCATTGAAATACACCAAGGCGATAGCTATTCGTAAACTCAAGCTGCCCCCCTTCCATATCCGTACAAAACAATTTATTACTACACTTATCCTAAATTCATAATCCTTGTCTGATTATATAACCAAACGTAGTGTTAATTATAACTGTCTTTCTTATTCTTGAATCCCTTATCATTTTGTTTATTTTCATTTGGTTTTTATTTTCCACATAAATTAGTTTGACGAGTGAATGTGTGATCAAGTTGTTAGAAATGTTTCGTGGAATCACATCACAGTCTTGAGATAATCTTCGTCTTCTAATAAAGCTATTCATTAAATGTACTTTAATTAGAGGTTTACGTTCATAGGCAGTAATCTGCACTAAAGAGTATTCGGTAATTACTTTTAAGAACAGTGACATTATTAGTGGTCGGTATATCTTACTGCTTTTAAAAGTGTCCGATATGCTTATACTAGAATGTAATTAATAACTGTTTTATCCCGACTAAGTGTTTGAAATCTTTCAGTACACATGCTAAAGTGGTTTACTCAGCCTTATGACGTTCACTATAGCGTAAGGTATTCAAAGTTACAACCTGGTAAAACTGAAACCACCGTATTCTTAATAATGCAGAGCATCCATGCTGTTTCCATGGTTTTATTTGCATTCATTCACTAGAATAGGCTAGAATAAATCTTTTAAGAAACAAGCACATTGGTCAGGTAAGCATACCTTAATAATAATAATAATAATAATATTTTTGCTTTATTCCAAAAACAGTACTAATGATACAGCAAGGAATTTTCAGCATTCAGTACAATATTGCATCTAATTTACTCAAAAACGACAAAAAAAATTAAAAATACACATTACATAATAGTAATAAAACGATTGTTATAGCAGCTACGTAGCAAAATACTGTATGCCATACGGAGAAAAATATGCATAAAGTACAAAATTGTAGTAATAATAGTAATACCAACTAATATAAAATAGCAGAGTAACGATTTAAACGATAGAAAGTGTGACACCATAAAATACAGAAAGATGAACGATAAAAGGGTCGATTCACTGTGCTAATTACATAGTAACTTGTAAGTTTCACGTCTAACAGAGTCTTCGTCACATAAAGTACGCGCTAAATAGGGTATTGTAGAATTTCTATACTTAGTGGTACGAGCATATAACTTTTTATATTGACTTCTCGTCCTACCTGATGAGATACAAGGGGACAGGTGTGAATAAAGGGGGTGCAGAGGGTCTGACAGTATAGCCTTTGCCCATTTCGTACAGGAATTTATATGCCTCTCGACTATAGTATTAGCGAGCTCATGCAGTGGCAGACCACAAGCTCTACTCACAGCATTTAATACTCTTCGTAATATGATATAATCTTTTTTGAGAAGCCCAGGAAAGATTAATGGAGAGCAATAGAGTACAATAGGTAAAATACAGGAGTTTAAAAATTGCAAAACTAAAGGTTGGTTGATACCTGATTGTCTTAACTTTTTAATGTAGAAGGTAAGACGAAACATTTTCTTAGAGATAGATAAGATGTGGGATGACCATGAAAGGTCAGAGGAAAGAACTAATCCAAGGTATTTAATGCTTGATTTGGTTTCAATTTCCGTGCCATCTATGCTACAGGGATCATGCGAGCTAACTAGTTCAAGTAAGTCACGTCGATGCTTGAAAGTAAAGTCAAGTGCCTGACATTTGGAAGGATTTAATATAAGACCATTTGACTTGGACCAGTTGTTGATGTCCAACAGAAAGCTATTAAGTTTGGAGCTGTCAGACTCGGAAGTGATAGGCAGTGATACAGTCAGATCATCTGCATATTTGACAAAGTTAGTTTCGTTTGAATGAGGTAGGTCATGTAGGAAGAAAGAAAAAAGAAAAGGAGAGAGGACAGCACCTTGTGGAACACCGGATTTTGTAAGCGAGGTAGAAGAAGATTTGCCGTTATATACAGTATACTGCATTCTATCAGAAAAATAGGAATGCAACCAACTCTTTGCCCAGGATCCTGTTTGTGTCAACGATAGCTTATTTAACAAAAGGCCCCTAGGTACAGAGTCAAAAGCAGATGTGTAGTCTAAGAAAGCAGTACGAACATATTAAGCACCTTTGTTAAATATGTTCGTGGTGCTTTCTTAGACTACACATCTGCTTTGGACTCTGTACCTAGGGGCCTTTTGTTAAATAAGCTATCGTTGACACCTTAAGTGTATTACAGTAGTATCTTACTTTGGTCTTTTTGAACTTCAATGTGATTTAGTGAATTAAATTTTTAATCATTTTCATTGCGGATATTTATTGTTTACTTGAGCTTTAGGTTTACCTGAGAAGGTTTCACAACTGATAGAAACAACACCTTGTGATCTTCCAAAATTTGACAGAAATTTGTTTATGCTTACTGCGCTTTTGATATCATCTGACCTGCCACTTGACTATGGTAATTCTCAAATCAAAATGACAAAATTCTGAAGTGGACATTTCAATGCCATTATTTGCATAGAATTGCACAAATCAAATGTACACAACCAATACAGAACACTGGATTGCGTATTAGGCTGACTACAGGAAATTCTGTTGTTTCACATATATAAATATAAGGCAGAGATTTGTGTTATTGACAACATATTTCAACAGTGTAAGTATTTTGAAAAACTGACCAAATTTTAAATGTGTGAGACACTTTACTGTAGTTTTCATTATTAATGTGTATTTTAGGCTGCAAGTGTCAATGATTCGATATTACTTAGGCTATTCCACCACTATCCAACAGATATTGTCAGAGACGTATGATGAATCGAATAAATAAAGTAATGTGGTGTTTTATATCACCACAATGTGTCATGACTGCTAATGTTCTTATAGTATGTGTGTGTGTACATATACTTCCGGTTTCCTTATAAGAATTGCGAAAATATGCTTTCATCCTTCATTCACAAAGTGTTTCGTCTAAAAACATATGCTGATAAGTTGTACACGGTGTCCGGAAGACTGACTTAGCTTCTGCCTTTCAACCGGGTGATTTTTTTAATCAAACATCCCGATGTGGGTCAGTTAGGCCTTTTAATTGAACACTGTGTAAGCATAACTCAGTGTCTTAACTGCACAATTACTTTACCACTAATTTGTCCGTGTATATGTACCTCATGAATACTTGATGCAAATCTGGTTTGAAAATCGTAATCCTAAGAGTCTCTATGTTCATCAAAATGTCTTTTACAAAGGTTTACTGGTGTATTAAATTACTATAAACTTCATTGATATGACTTTGAAGAGTAATACATGTTTACATAAATCGAAAATTCTTTCTTTCTGTAGGAATCTTTGACGTTTTAACCAAGAAGAATTATCTGAAAAAAAATGCCCTGCAAAGAGACGTACCTTAACCTATTCAAACAGCTAGATAAAAATGGAGACAATGTAGTCTCCTATGAAGAGTTGAAATCTGGACTGAAAGAATTAGGAATGGATGATGACTGTATCAATGTAAGTTTTAAAACCGTACTTCTGTGATAAAATATGTTAATAATATGTGTAAAAATTGAGCATTATGATGACATGTTATTACATATTAATTTGTTTATTAGATACATTACATAGGGAAGTAGTATCACTTGCTGGGTGACATTTTGTACACAGTTTAATGTTCATAATCATATCTTCTATGGTTTGGTTTGTGAGGGTTAGTTATGCTTTTAAGAGTTGATCAGTGATTTCAATGGTTCTCTAACTGATATCAATCCGTGATCAACTCGTAAAAACATAACTAACCCTTACAAACCAAACTATAGAAAAATAATCTGATGCTCGCTAGTGACTTGCTACAGGATGGAGTTTCCTGGAGTTCTAGTGAGAAGTCGTGACCAGTGAGGTCGAATTAGATGTCACATGTGTGGATGGATGTCCCATCAACGAGATTGGTTGGGATAGCGCTAAATCAAGAATCGGTAGAAGTCAGAATTCATGAGCCATTGGATCGGGTCCTAGTGGCTGAATCGTATACGAGCTCACCTTGTAACCGAAAGGTCTTGAGTTCGGATCCCTGTGGTGGGTGGGTACTGTCGATGATTCCCAAACTAGGATTAAACTGCAGCTCTCCAGTACTATTTTTTTTTTGATTTACAGCTTGATTCCACACTGTATTTTTGGTACAAGTATGGAATTTTCAGCATGGATATCGGTAGCCCAAATTTAGCGGGCTGACCGTAAATATCAGGTGTGCGCCGGTGTGGGCTCGAACCCCGGACCATGTGCATGGTCGGCGAGAGTCCTAACCACTGTGCCACCGACGCACTACTACCTGGTTTTCAATCGTTCTCTAACTGATATCAATCCGTGATCAACTCGTAAAAACCATATCTTCACTTGTAAACACACAACTTTGAAAATCGATTCTGACAGATCTCATTCTTGCTTCTCATTCGTCGTAGGGGTAGTAGAATTCACCAGATGTCCACAGAAAAGTTGTTAAGTCATCTGAGGACAAGCGCAGTAGGAATGATTTAACACTTGCTTGGACATTCGGGGGAATTTTACTACCTTTAAGAAGAATGGGGAGAAGGAAAGTGATCTGTCGAGATCGAGTTTCGAAGTTGTACATTTACAACTGATGATATGAATATGAGAGCAGCAGATTATGTTCAAAGCGTTGTCCAGTAAATGATACCATTCCGCAGTGATATTTATGCAGTAAATCAATTAATATGGAACTACATCTCTCATAGTACTATAACAGTAGAAGGCAAGACACAGAAGCCAAAGTATATTCTTCATTGATCAAACTGATATGTATATGTTTACAGTTAATGTTTTTCAGCCAATCATTTAGGGTGTGATTTTGGCTTACATTAAACTACATAAAATAGAATGTTCACATGCATGTATTAGTATCCACTTGCTAATGCAGTATTGAACTGCAGCAATATATAAGAATAATATTCCGTTGGAACACATTGTCCATATCGCACCACCACATGAAATAAAAAACTCACAATAAGTCATTTACAGGTGTATTCAAACTTTTCAATACCTTATTTATCTAGGATGTTATCCGATGAAAACAAATCATAGTAATTAACGCAGCACCTGAACCCTGGGTTGAAATAAGGATGTGTTTCAATTTTACAAGGTTTCTCTTTCGAGCCATCCCATGCAATTTAGATTACCTAATGTTCTTCATTAGATGTGACTGCCACGGTGGGCAGAGCTGTTGACTGGTCCTCTCCTGTACTACTCACTAACCTAAGGTTGACAATAATAAATTCCGCTGAAGTTGCATATTCCTCTTATTTATTCAGTTGGATGCAACCGGTTTAAACTTAGAATTTGTCGTACAATTATTATTTTAAAAAACTAAGTTATTGCACGTGTTCATTGGAGTTTGTGCACCTGCCACTAAGGTCAAATATGTATATACGTGCTTAAAACGACGGATGTCATTATTATTTCAATTGGTTAGGCTTGCACTCCTGAATGCCATCGGTTAGCCATAGTCAAATAAAACTTCTTTATATCCCTGAATGTCACCTTAGTTTTTCAGAATTATTAAATCGTTCAGTCAGAATGATTACCTGAGTGGCGTCTTTTCAAAGAATGAATAAATTAGTTCTGTCTGGTATTATTCCACTTGTGGATCAGAATATTATAAGTAAATATTCACAATATCGCATAGACTTCCTAAAATAGTTTTGGTGTAGAAGCGGTAGATTGCAAATCAGGTATATAATAACTAATCTCGCAATTTATCTAAGATTTTTCTGAAGTGAATATTACGGTCAACTGTAATTCCATATTAGTTTGTTTATTAGATGTATCACACAGTCATCAGTGAAACACTGTTATTTACTGGATGACGTTTCGAACACAATTTATTTCTGTTCATAATCATATCATCAATTATAATCACACAACTTTGAAACTTGAGATTTATAGTTTTCTTTGTCTTCTCCTATTTGTCGTCGTAGGCGTGGTAGTAGAACTTTCCAGATATCTGGGTAGAGAGGTGTTTAATCATTCCTATTACATGTACTTGGACTTGATTCAATAAACAAAGCTTCTGTTATCCATTCAATTTACTTATGAATTGGAAAGTCTGGAAGGGGAGCTTCCAATTTTAGATTGCAACGTAAAAAGGAAAAAAAAATGGGAAGTTAAACACTAGTGTTTACAGGAAAATCACACATTTAAACAGATATCTGGACTTCCGATCATCCCACCCATGTCAGTGAAAATAGAACCGGTGAAATGTTCAAATGACAACGGGGCACAAAAACTAAGTAGTACCAAGGAAAATCTAAGACAGGAAGGGAGGCATGCAAGAGAAGCTTTGAAACCTAAAAATTACCCTGATAAATTATTCAGGAAGTATGTCGGGAAGTGTAAAATAAAATAAAAATGATAGTAGTGATAGTGATAATAATAATACTGTTGACGACATGCATGTCAAATATGCGCAACATAACACCGACAATAAAGAATCTAAATCATCTGTAGTGATTTCATACAAGGGAGGAACCTCGGAAACCTTACACAGAATTCTTAACAATTCTGGCAGAAATAAAAGCGGCTGGTCTTCAAACCACCCACAAACAAGCTTAGTAGATTAGAGGAAAGATCCTGTAGAGCCTTTAAAACAAAACAATTTAGTTTATCTAATACCCTGCTGGAATGATTGTCAGGTCAAATATGTAGGTCAAAGTAGTTGAACGGCGTCAGTCAGTCAGATTAGCTGAGCATAAAAACCTAGCAAAATCTAAATTAGTTGACCCGAATAAGATAAGAAATCTGAAGAATAGTTCAGCTGTACCACTCACTACATGCAATAACACGCATTCATACAACAGGATGTGATAAGATGACAGTTTTAAAATCTATTGTAACAGGGTGGAGGGAGAGATTGACAACGGGAGCTTTGCTTATCGAATCAACTGAGAGAGAATACGTGTAATAGGAATGATTCAACACGTGTCCATCCAGACATCTGAAAAATTCTACTACCACGCCTACGACGACAAATAGGAGTGGACAAAGAAAACGATAAAACTCAAGTTGTGAAGTCATGTAATTATAACTAATGCAATGATTATGAACAATAAATTTTGTTCGAAACCTCGTCATCCAGTAAAATAATACTGTTTCACTCACTGTGTTATACATCTAATAAAGAAACTACAATGGAATTACTTACTACCACACTGCCCGATGTCTACACATATGCTATAAACTGTACTTATGGTAAGCGTGTGACTGTACAGAAATTTACAAGTGAATCCCAGCGTGAATGCAGGAGACTTGAAAAAACCTTTTCTGATAGAATTTTATTTTGGCAGGATGTTAGTGATGGTTCAGTTTAGAACCAAGTTTTGATTGATTACTTGTGTGAGTATTTTTACATATGTCTTTTCGTGTCAGACACTAGTGTTTACTAAGCCGGCGACTTTACAAAATTGAGTTGTATATTTGCAGCTTAAATCCGTTACGATTTCTTCATTTAAACTGTAGGCAAGGTAAATTTCGTTCATTTCATAAGCCTATGCATGAATGCGTTAATGCAGTCTGAATTATGTTTCACTAAAGTAAAGTATTTCAAGTGCTGAAATAGGATTTTATCCATGCAGTGTTAGACAAAATATTGTTTATTACACAGAACGGAATGACAACTAAGAATCCAAAGGCACTCCTTTCATATAATGTATCTTTACTTTTGCGAATTCTTCATTAAATCATGTGATCTTGACTACATGACATTTAGAAAAATAAATTCCATGTTAACAACTAATGAGATTCTGATCAAAACAACACCTTGCTTTAAAATGGTGATAATAGTAAATTAAGTGAAATACAGATTATCTCCTAGGTTGGATGAAAGTGTGGTTGATGTGGTTTAAGAAATAAATCTCCTTTACTTCTGATAGTCACAAGGTCAAGAGTCTACCAGAGGTGGATAAAGTTTGCCTTTCAGATTCAATATCTCACACACTTCATTAATTTCTACAGATTCCGTTGTAGATATTTAGAATAAAACGCTGGCCCTCTGCAAACATTACCGTTATTCCCTTGGGCTTCGAGTAAATTAAAGGGCTTTAACAGTATATCTTCATTCTGTCCTGTTATTCTGCATTCCTATTTAGCTGGCTACACGATTGCCCATAGGCACTCATCTCCTCCTCCAAAGGATCTCCTCCATTTCACTCCATTCAGGTCCCAGTCGACAGCTTTTCTAAGGCGCAGTGCCACCCAGCGGTCTCCTCAGTGTTTGTCAAATTCATCCTCATTTTCTTTGGGATTTTTCTTGAGAAACCGATTATTGATTGGTTCATTCCCAGAGTTTCTTCTTGCTAATTCTTTCTGGTCGATCGTCTGATCTTCAGTAGTGAACCGATAAAGGACGCTATTGACAAAAGCTTAAAGTCCGTCAGGAATGCTTTCCGTGACCGCTATGGAGTAACTAACTTAATATCGGTGTTTTAAATCCTAGTTTTGTTCTCTCTCTCTCTCTTAGTACAGCAGGTTTTGAAACTGATTTCTGATCCTGCCTAGCTTTGATATCCATGCCCCATCCAGACAATTAAGAGATGTGAGTTCCCTTACATTTTTCCCCGGTTGATGGTGAGTGGTAGTTGTTGCTGGTTGCTGATCCTCATCACCTCTGTCTTCCCCAATATTTACTTGAAGTCTCGTCTTTACTGCTTCTTCTGCCAACTTGTCGGCTCAGGCTTGTTGATTGTCGAGTTTATGTGACATTAGACACAAGTTATCTTCAAAGTTCAGATTATCTCGAGTCTTCTTGTTAGTCCAAAGTAATCCTGTCTCCTTGCTTCCCGTCGTTTACCGTACAGTCGAATCCATCACAATTAGGAATATTATTGGCGATATTAGTCAGCCTTGTCTTTCTCTCGTTTTTACTTCAAATGTTTCGTAATAACCAGACAAATACCTAAGCATCTAGTTTCCTCTGTATTAATAGATCATTTTAATTATGGTCAAAACGGAGTTTGTCACAAACCATATTTCAAATTTCATCTCGTTCCCTTTTTTTATCCTACAAACATTCTTTCTCTTACAGGATGTAATGCGAATACTTGACTCCGATAAAGATGGACAGATCACATTAGCTGAATATAAAAAGGCTGTTGGATATGAATCTAAGTGAATTCAGGTGTCTGCCAGGAAATGTTGACATTTGGAAAAAAATTAGATCCTTTTTATACTGATTTTGTAGAAGTTTTATTGTTCAATTTACGTTACTCTTATTATTACCCAGTTTGAAATGTGTATTTCACAGGTATTTACTTAGTTGTGTTTATCAAATTCAAAATAAACTTTATTAAATATTCTTATTACTAAGAGTTGTCCTGAATACATTTCAAAACGAAATCTACAATAAGAATAATGAATTTCGATGTCGAATACTTCGAGCTCAGCATTAACATCACTTATTTCTTGAAGTGACCGAGAAGATCTGTACCTCAGATGGTTGACTGTGATTTGATTGTGTTATTTTAGCTGGTTGATTTAGTTACGAAGCTTTCTTTCCCCACCTTGTAAACAACATCTTCAGCGCAGGCCTTAATATAAAGTGAACTTGTTTGTATTTTCCATAGTAAGTGGTTTTCACCAAAAATGCCAGTAAAATTTCTAAAAGTCTGGTAGTTGGATGAATTAGCAATTAACAAATGAATCAGTGTAGATGAAACTTACCGACTAATGGGAAGCCGTGACCAGTAGGGTACAGCAGGTTGAAGGTGAGACAGTTACTCATCGAAGATGACATTGCGAAGTGATCGCACTATGTTGTGAATTGGCAGAAGTTAGAATTCATGGGCCACTGGATCAGGTCCCAGTGGCTTAATGGCTTACGAGCTAGCCAGCCTTGTAACCAGAAGGTCCTGGATTAGGACCCCAATCCGTTGGGCGCACAATGCTGAATAGTCCCGAACTAGGCGGACATGACAGCTGTTCAGTACTCCCAGGTTTCCCAATGGTTCTCTAAGTGATATCACCTCATGATGAAATCCTCCAACCTATCAAACAAACAAAATCCCTAACAAGACCAATACTAAATATAAATAAGTCACATGACGAGAAAGTTCAAATTCCAAGTCAACAAAAAACAATCGATGTAAACTGATAAGCAATCACAAAAATGGTTGTCAGGAGATACAATTCCATCTTTCATGGAGAATTTAAATAAGTGCACTTTACACTGAAACCCGGTGTTGTTTAGAAGGATAACAAAAGTTTTAAGGTTAAACCAACCAGTTCGAAGTAGTCAACCAAACCAAAGTTGAGCGCTATTGACAATAAAAAGTAAAATAAAGTAGTATTCAGGATATAATTTCACAGCAGTTATATTCTTCGTCATATGCTGTAAATTTTGGAAGTATATTATACACGTTTGCTAGTACGAAAATCCTGAAAGTTTATTTTCGAATGTTTTCTGGCATGAACAGCTATCATTGCAGACTCCGTGCAGAGATAAGCTTCATTGTAAAAATTGCTTTGTCAGAGGAAATAAAGGCCAGATGAACAAAAAGATAAGGGATTCAAGAATAAGAATAATTAACACTATGTTTGGTTATCTAATCAGACAACGATTATGAATTTAGGATAAGTGTAGCAGTAAATTGTTTTGTACGGATATGGAAGGGGGGGGAGCTTGAGTTCAGTGAGGGTCCTTGACTGTTTTTATAAACAACGTGAGAATCTGTTTTGACACCTGTCCTGTTACTCATATCGATCAAGTGTTTAGCTATAGTAGTAGTAGAAGATGGTAGTCTATAGGCTGAGTTTATCGAGGTCTCACAGTTTATCTGTTTTTCTAACCATATGGACATAGTTCTTCCACATCTACATACAAAGCACGAGTAATTCTCCTTACATATGTGTGACCACAAACATATATGTGAATCAGTATATGGTGTGAGATTTGGTCAGCCGTGCAATGATGAGGCCTGTAGTGGAGCATACTCTGGGGTATTCCCATAACTATAAGCTAAGTTGTATACCACATCTTACCATAGGAAAGAAGGGCCGTTGAGACTCGAAGGAATGTTTATTAGGACAAACTCATTACAGGCACATAAATTCGTTATGTCATATCTCCACTGCTCTATTTGCACATCATTCCCAAACTGGTTGAATATCACCATATTTGATAGCCTGTTGGATCCTGCACATTGTTTCTCACGTTCTTCGCACAGATCTGTTCTTCGATTACTTTTCCAGAGTCCGAAACATTTTATTGCTTTTCTGAATTTGTTTACTGTGCGTTAGTGGCGCAGAAGTAGAATGTTCGCCAACCATGCCTGATGTGGTCTGGGGTTTGATCCCCGCCAACCGACGTACTCCCTAACCTCGCTAAGCCAGTAAATGGACTGGTAAAAAGGGAAGGTTAGGCTTGGCATGAGGCTAGCAACCCCATCCCATAGAAGTAAATGCCACTTCTACCGAAACTGTGGGCCTCTAGCTTGAAGCCCTACATTCCACTGGGAACGTAAAGGAATAATAACAGATATACTACTTATATCTTATTATAAGTAGCACTCACTATATTACGATTGACCATGTTTTTTTCGGTGTCTTACTAATTACACTACTGTTTGTTTCCCCGCTACATGGCGATTCGATGAAAACATCTTCTTTTTGGGACGGAATAGACTGTAGGCTTTGGAACCAAATGACTCCCACACAGGTTTGAAAATGCTAAAGTCTATCCATTTTCGACATGTGTATCTGTGATTATTCGATTTTCATTATCTATAGGGTGAGGTGTACAAATACTCTGATAGCTCTTAAATAAGCTCTTAAATATTTCTTGCCACAGATCAGCTAATATCACAGCGTCACATTTATTTAAACACTTGATATTCCCTTGTTTATTTAGGTACTTTGAAGTAAAGCTGTGTTTATACGAGGCGAAACCGGGCTGTAGAACGTTCTACCTATCAGAATCCTTCTTGAATCCCATATCCACCTAATGTAATGGAACTGCTGTTTTGCTTCCTAAAGTTTTCGAATCCACTGAGGTGTTTGGAAGCACCATAAGTACTCTCACGCTTATATCTGTCCACTTAAATGTTTCTTCTGCATATACAGCACCACAGTCGGCATATTTATTGAGTATAAGCAGATCTGCTAGTAGTTTGTTCAAGCCTTGCTAGCGCCGAGAGTGAGGTGTTCATTGCACGGAAATACGCTCTTATGCTACGACTATTAAAGGTTCTGCTTATTTCTTTTGACATTTATTTGCGATGGGGAATCATCACAATACTTAACTAAATCTTAGTAGGAGATATTCATTTCCTATAGTGGACACAATCAATTTCAACTCCCTGATAGTATCTTCTTCCCCAGTGAGTAGACACTGGGGTATTTTAATCAGAATCCTGGTATCAGGTACTGCGGTGTTATATATATACCACGCACTGTATGAAAAATAATGCTAGCTTCATTTGCAACCACGTTGAACTACACAACATAATCTCACATGCAGGTATCATACACGAATTTATTACATTTATAACGAACAATCCTTATCATTGATATTTTTGTGCTTTCTGCACCGGCTACTTTAACTGCAAAACTTAAATAAACTTTCTAGACAACAGAATTTAATTGGTGGATGGTGGGTAGCAGTGGAATGCAGATTGCGCACTTCGTCTTACTTGGGACTCGTCAGTTGGATATACCTACATTGCTCAGTGAATGATGAAGTTCCCACCGAGGCTCGAACCGAGTGCTCATAGTTTCAAACGCCAAAGCGATATCCACCAGAGCACTTGGGCCACGAGAGCCACCTCTTATGCAACGGGTCATATTAATTATTGAATTTAATTTTCGATTTTCTCGTCGATTGATTGGACCTTAGTGCCCGGTTTTAACATATTTGCAATTAGATCACCCTGCTTAGAAAACAAAACTATATCACTAACGTTCGCCTAGGCTGCAAATCTCGACTACTTTAGAACAGTTCTTCTTGGTAGATTCCGAATTGTCAGTAAGAGGCTGTACTATCCTGTACCTCATTTGTTTGCCTCATTCATTAGGAAGTGAAATGATAAACTCACTGTTGAGTAGCGTGCCATCGGAAGTCAAAAAGTAGCATTCACTTGCCTGTTAGGTGCTAGGAAATCCAAGGAGGATCTCAGTATGGCTTTGAGTAGATAGACGTTTAAACTCTCAACAGCACGTCATTCTGTCCACATCACTGGAATCTCTACTAATCTTCAAAAACTTTATTTTACTAAAGGCTTAGGTGTATTTCAGCTTAGAGCATTTGTAGCCCGAAGTTTTGCACAGATGAACCCAAAAATGACCAAACAGCGTTTGCTTCTTCACGAATGCATCCAAAATTGTTTTTAATAGTTTCGGTTCAACCCTAATGAATAGTCACGCTTCAACTAGGTGAATGTTGAAGTAGCTAAGTGATTTCATTCGCTGATTCTGTGTCAAAATGAATTTTTTGAATGTGTGTACACAAAGTCTTGATGTTGGACTTATTACATTCTGGTTGATGATAATGAAAGTGTGGTGCATAAACACTGGCGAATCATAGTCATAATATATTCACGCAGATCAAAGTCTATAGACAAAATACCTGTGATAACACGTTCTTTGCAAATAAAAGTGGTTGGGTATAAACTGGTGTTGAATACGCAGGACTGTGTGTTTCAAATAAAACTACCAGTGACTTCTAAGTGCATTGAATTACTTTTATAGTTTGCTTACTACTCCTTCAAATTATTCAGAGTCTTATAAATGCCAAAACGGTCTTTTGTAGAGATGATCTCATTAATTTTTGTAGACAGTAAATCAGTTCCTAAGCAGGAATTTGCTTAGGTATTTGTAAAAGGATTAGTAAAATTCACATAAAACACATTTCTGCAAGTTTAGAGAAAAATATGAAGCAGTATTCAACAGTATTTTATTTTTAATTAACATTTATCTTTCTATTAGCCGTCTTTTTGTATTGATCTTTCCAAATTCAGATTATATGAGTAGGGCTTATATTTACACATACATATTCCTGTTTCTTGTAATTAATCATAGTTGTTATGTTATGAGGATAAACAGCTTCTGTCTACAGTTTTCAACAGAGACTGATGACCTGATACACCTCAATACTTTTGTTTTTAAAACCAGACATTCCTGCCTACATTTTCTGTGTGCTTCATATGAATGTTATTGAAGAAAAGTCATTCATTAAGCATGTAGTGCTGAGTGTGTTGCCAGTATATGGTCTTATCAGATGTGAAAGAGAGTAAAAAATTGTAAAGAGACAAGATTAATATGTATGATCTGTAATACTCAGATCAGGATTAATTTCAATGAACACTTTGTCATGA